GAGAAGAAGTGTGTGGAGGAGCAGAAGTGTTTGGAGTAGGAGAAACATTAATTGAAGGAGCAACCACAGTATTTGAAGGAACAGTAGTGTTTGGAGGAGCAGCAGAACCATTAAAAGCAGCCCCTTTATTAAAAGCTGAGCAAGATTCCTCCTCAGGCATGTGCACATATACTTCCAAAACAGCCCCAAGTTGTAAAGACTTACCAATTGCTAAAAGAGCCCTGTCATTTTCAATATCTCCTAAAATGCCACAGTTAGGTGGCCGAATACTAAATTTACAACTTGACCTGTACCCTAATTCTTTAATATAATCCTTCAACTCAAAATAGGATAGGGTATCCACATCAACATCCAAATATTCACTCATTACCCCACCAACATATTTTGGTTCCCCATTTCCAAACTCTAACACCCCACCATGATATAGTCTTAAAGTGATTAAAGCAAACCCACTCATACCTATATGCAAACAAAGCAAACAAAAAATCGATAAAACAAAATTCAGCAAAATTCGACAAACTGTAGATACTAGTATTAGAAAAGTACTTATTTACTAAAAACCAAAAGTTTTCACTGAACCCATGCACAATCTAATCTCTAGGTTAGCATGCAGACAAGAAACCTCAAATTTAATCCCCAACCACAAAATCGCAATGGCTAAAAACATTTAAAAACCCTAAACTAACACAAAAGTAATTAAATGCAGTAAAGAACTAACCTTTGCTCTTGGATTGTGACGAATAAAAAGCTTAGCCTTCCAATCTGACCTTCAATCGATACACGAAAAATCCTAGAACATTATTCTTGTTGAACCTTCGAATCTGACCTCCCTTTCCTTGAATCAAACCATTAAAATGGGGTTTTCTACTTGTTTTCGATCTATTAGTATCCAATTGCAAGAGAACAAAGAAATTTTTTAATGTCTTGATGATTTGGTTAAAGGATCTAAGCAGTGAAGAATGGGGAAATTAGGTCTCAGATAGTTATGTTTTAATGAAGAGATAAAAAAAGATAAAAATGGGAATGGAATGGGGGGCCCATCGGTTTATGATGCGCGTGTATACACCAGATGTATTTTAACTGGGGTTCCGGTCCAGCTCAGCACAAAAGGTCCAAAATATTAAGGTAAAAAATAGTTTAGGGAGGTACTAGGATTCCCGTGAAGAAAAAGTGTTTAGTTGGAACTTTGGGTATAGGTTACGGGGGTAATTAAGCATTTTCCCTTCCTATTTACTTTGTTAGTAGGTACGCTACCTTTGTTTGTTATATTCTGCACTTGATTTTATTTTTATATTTTTTTCATGTAATTTTCCTCTTTCATAGGCGGACATAGACACAATTTTTAACTAATTGATAAAGATTATATTGTTGATTGATAGTTATAATTCATTTTTACATATATTTATCTGGTTGACACTAGAGTTTTAAAATGCGAGGGCGTGAGGCAGAGCGTTTTGCTTAATATGGGGCGAGGTGAAAGCCTCGAGACATGGGGCGCCTGCTTCACAGATCTTTAATTTTTTAAATTTATGAATTAATAGAATAGCATTATAACACAATAAAATATAAGAGATGCATTAAAAGTTCAAGAAAACTAAAAAGAATTAAAGAAACTCGTATAAAATAAAATATTTAGCATGTTTTACAAGTATAAATAATACAATGCGGTTAAAACTACTATGAAAACTCCAACCTCTTAACTTTCAAACAATTAAAAATTATAATTTCTTCAAAAATATTATCAAACTGCATATTTTACCTCATTAAAAGTAAATACGCAATAAATTTTTCAATACTGTAATTTAAAATATCTCCTTCATGAGTAAATATAAAATTATTTTTAAATGGTAAATTAAAAAATTTATGATAATTTTGAGAGACATAGAACTAAGACATGAAGATCTATCAAGTAAAGATATAAATTTTGGTTATCTACTTTTAGAAGAAATTTTCAAATGATATTCACCCTCACGATGTTCTCAATTAGTAAGTATGCAATAATATATTTCGCTATTTGAGCTATTCACGATTTTCATATTTTTATAGATAAATAGAACTTTAATCATTCATTTTTAAAGAATTTTGAGAGTTAACAGTGCAAATTAGTGAATTCAATACATGATTTGCATAGGAACTTTTGAGCGAGTCCCGAGCGTTAAGGGTTAGGCGTGTTTAGGACACACCGTTGGGTGTTTGGGGGCATAAGCCTCAGAGAACTAAGCCTCACACATGAGTCTCAAGGCGTTTTGATAGTGCCCCACCCCGGGGCGAGTCCCAGAAAAGCCTTTTAAAACAGTGGTTGACACTATAAGTTTGAATTGATTTTATTTTTGGTTGTGATTCAATGCAATGATCTCTAAAATTCTAATGACGGTCAGTAATTAAAAAAATCTAGCTCAAGCGTTTATTTGATTATTTTTGTCCTTATCCGTGACTAACAACAACAATCACAAAGTTTAATCCTTCAAGTGGGGTCTGGCCTCATCCATAACCATCAATTTCAATAAAATTCATATAGTAATTGTTTAAAAATCCTATAGTCAGCGTACAACGTTCTTCTTTTCTCATAATTTAGTTTAGCGTATGGAATCAACAAACTATTGACACCCTTGAGAGGACGACATTCTTACTGGTGAATATCAATGTGAGTGTTTGTTAGATTTTTTTTGTTAAAGGGTGTGAATGGAAAATAGAAGGGATACCGTTTAGATTGCACCTCTTCGTTTTACCCTTTCATTATTGGGCCTCATTATTTTACACAAAAAAATTTGAAATGTTTTCCCTCTTCTCTACATTATTTATAAAACAAACATACGTGTCAAGTGTGACAATGATGGCTCCACAAAATTAGTGGCCTAAAGTCAAATTTAAATGAGAGGCCTTTTCTTTTTTATATATATTTTTTATTTATTGTATAATACTTTTACAAGATATAATGCTTTCAAATTCACAATAAACATATGATAGTAATAAGGTTAGTTCAAGTTAATAAGATGTAAGCCATGTATTTGCAATATGTTATCTTGGATTCTGTTAAAAAATTTTATTTACTAATATTAAGATTTGAATAGTCTAGTTTAAAGTTCTACACTATTTTTACTATTAAAAAGTATTAGTATTTCTATCTTGTTAATAAAGATTTTGTACTTTTGTCTATGAATTTTATTATTCTCTACGCTAAAATAACTTAAAGAATCTAGTAAAATATTTGGGGCCCAAAAGCTTGGGGGCCTAAAGTATAAGCTTTAGTGGCCTCTCCCTTAAGCCACCCCTGAAGTGTGATTTGCTCCGTCTATTGAATTCGCTGAAATTCTGTACTTTTGATTGCCGGTATTACAGAATATATAGTTTTTCCGTTTCCTCCTGAAAGGAATTAATAGTTGATTAAATTTCTTAAGGACACACAAATAACTTGTGGGCTCAGAAATTATTTTGTATTTTTTTTATTGAACTAACGTTTCTTTTCTTTTCTGATTTTAAATACAGTTTCACTAACAGTGTCCTGTTACCATAAATTGAATAGCCTTCAGATAGATTGCGTTTGAATTTCTCTATATTTGTTACTCGCCTTATGTAGTTAAAGCATGCTTCTAGATAAGCCTTTTTTTCCCCTTTTACTATGTAATTCCACACTCTAAGAAGGTATTTGACCAAAGAATGATTCTGTTGAGAAGCTCTAGCTATGGAGGAACTGGGGATTCTAGAAGATGAGAAAGGAAGAAGAAGAAGTCTGAAATGAAGCTCTGTGTTATTCTTTCAGAAGAAAGAAAATGAATCGTGAAATACAGCTGCTTAGTCTTGTCCAATTTATACACAATTAACTAACTTCTAACAAACTACAACTAACTCTAATACACTATAACTAATTACACTTTGTATTAATAGTTGGGACCTACACTACTTAACACCCCCTCTCAAGCTGAGGGATGAAATATATCTTTCATGTCCTGTGATGGGTTTACAGTAGCTTAGTTTTGTGCTTTGATGATCTAACAAACTTATTGTCAAAGAACCAGATAAGGAACCTGACACACTTGGTACACAATATAAATCAAGGGACTCCAGCTACTGTGAGCGGCTATGTCTTCAGAAGATAAAAGATCAAAACAGGGACCTGATCTCCTTGTGTTTCCCCGACAACAGTACGAAAGTCAACTGTCTACAGCTGGAAAGTGACTTCCTGCACTATACACGCAGAAAGTGTTGCACAATACTACAGTCACTCCCCTTTGACCAACCAAGAGATTACATCATTCAAGTGATGTCATCTAAGTTGTATAAACAAAGAGCATTACAACAAAACATCACTTGAACACTTGAGAATTCATTCAAGCACTCCAACCGCTTTGCCTGCCAAGCATTCAATTCTCAAGTGCAACAAGAACAAAAAACAACACTATTACGGACCAGTTCTTACAACAAGCATTTTGTATATCCTTAGTTGAGTTGTAACTTTGTAATTGTTCGTCATTGTAATTCCTACTTTGCTTATCTATAAGCGTTACTTAGGAACCCCTTGTAAACTATAAACCTTTAGTGTTTGTGTCGTGACTAGAGTTAGTCATGAGTTGAAGTCTTTGTAATAGGTGTATTGCAAAGTTGCTTGTAATAGGTGTATTACAAGTTAGTAAGGGATTAAGAATTTAATTCCTAGATTGCATAGGTTGTAATCTAAAGTTGCTCATAGTGAAGTTGAAATCCTACCAGTGTAGGTCGTGGTTTTTTATCCCCTTGACCAGGGATTTTTCCACGTAAAAAAACTCTGTTCCATTTACTTACTGTTTCATTAGCACTATTAGTTGGAACCTATAGAGGACCTGGTCTCTATATAGTTTGGTGGACTCATATATTCTATCAATTGGTATCAGAGCGGGTTCTTTTTATCAGGTTAACACCCAGAAAGGATCCTCATGGTTGCTCCACCAAATTTTGAAGAAGGTCAGTCTACATATAGACCACCCAGGTTCAATGGGCAATACTATGGGTAGTGGAAGACAAGAATGCATGACTTCATCATGGCAGAAGATTCGGAGTTGTGGGATGTTATTTGTGATGGTCCTTATGTCCCAACGAAGAAGGTTGGAGACCCGCCTGTGACGATGCCAAAAACTAGGAAAGAATACAATGACGCAGATAGGAAAGCTGTTGAGAAAATTTTTCGTGCTAAGAAAATTTTGGTGTGTGGCATAGGACCTGATAAATACAACAGGATCTCAGCCTGTCAATCAGCCAAGGAGATATGGGAAGCTTTGGAAACAACTCACGAGGGAACCACTCAAGTAAAGCAATCTAAGATTGACATGCTCACCACCGAGTATGAACTTTTCAGAATGAAGGACAATGAATCCATTACGGACATGCACACAAGATTCACTTCCATCATAAAGGAGCTACACTCGCTTGGTGAAATCATTCCAAGGAACAAGCTCGTGAGGAAAATTCTCAGTGTCCTACCCAGTTCATGGGAGAGTAAAGTGAATGCCATTACTGAAGCAAAGGATTTGCAAGAGCTGACCATAGATGAACTAGTCGGAAATCTGAAAACCTACGAAATGAAGAAGAAGAAGGACAGTGAAAGAAGAGAACCAAAGAAGGAAAAGAACCTGGTACTCAAAGATGAAAGCAATGACTCAAGTGAGGAAGACAGTGACATGGCTTACTTAACCAAAAGGTTTCAGAAGATGGTCAGAAGAAACGGAGGGATACCAAAAAGAGGCAGTTCCAGTAGACCAAAGAATTATGACCTTTATCATAAATGTGGAAAGCCAGGGCATTTTATCAAGGATTGCCCTCTCCTAAAGCAAGAACATTTCAAGTACAACCCTGACAAAGCAGCAAAGAGGAACCCGGTTCCTGACAAACGCTTCAAAAGAAAGGATGACGCTGCCAATGTTGTGAAGCAAGCTCTTGCAGCATGGGGAGATTCCTCCAGTGAGTCTGAAGAAGAAACTGATATAGGTGATAGCTCTATGATGGAAGTTGAAACTGAAGCAAATGAATATGATTCAATATTTGCTTTGATACTCAATCAGACAATGATGAAGACGATGACAATGATGAGGTACACTTTAGGGATGTTCAGAGAAATCTGAAATCCTACTCTCCAAAAAAAAAAAAACTCATGTCTTTAGCAAATGTGTTAATTGATGCCTATCATAGTCGTGTAGATGATAAGGATGCCTTGACCATAGAGTTAGGAGATGCTGAACAAACTAGAGATGACTTGGTAGTGTGTGTGGTTGATTTGAAGGAAACAATAAGTTATATGGAGAATGAAAAGGTGGCTTCGACTGAAAAAAATGTTAGTATAGAACATGAAAGAGACGACTTGATGGTACTAGTTGTTGACGTAAAAGAAACCATTGAAAATCTAAGTAAAGAAAAGAATTACTTAGTGGAAAAAATCGATGCCTTAGAGCAAGAAAGAGATGACCTCCTAGTTGTGATTATAGATTTGAGTGAAACAATAGAGGAACTCAAAGCAGAGTATGGGTCTGGGAGGACTGATAAAGGGAAAGGAGTTGCTAGTGAAGCACATATCAGGCTAGAAAACGAACTAAATGCTGTAAAAATCAGTTTATGTGCTGAACTTGAAAAAACTAGATAACTCCAAGCAGAATTGGATAGAGTAAAAAATGATCTTGAAAAGTCTCTTAAGTGGACCTGGTCCTCAGATGCTATTACTGCTATGTATGTTCACAATGGTGGAAACAGGCAGGGAATAGGGTTTCAAACGGAGAAAACTCCTTACTACCCTCATAGCAAATAAGTTAGTGTACCCGATAATTGGCTGTGTACCCAATATGGGAACAATGGGCATTTCAAAGAAGATTGCCAAGCCAGAGCTCAGTCTCATCAGAGAAACAAAGTTTTTTGCTGAAAGAGTAACTGCTGAAAAGGGACCAGGTGCCACTCATAAAAAATGCAGGTTACCTACATGGACTAAAAGAGCACTTATTCATCCTCTTGCTTATTACAAGGGACCCAAACTTGCTTGGGTTCCTAAATCTAACCCTTGATTTCTTTGTGCAGGGAACAGTGAAAGGAAGCAGTCAACAATGGTTCATGGCTAGTGGATGCTCAAAGCACATGACTAGGAATACCATGGATTTTATTTCACTAAAAGCCCTGCAAGGAGGGAGTGTGTCCTTTGGAAATGGAAAAAAGGGATACATTCTTGGAGTTGGAAAGATTGGGAAATCACTCACTCACTCAATTGAGAATGTGTACTACGTCAATGGGCTCAAGTACAGTCTCTTGAGTGTTTCTCAAATATGTGATAAAGGAAACAAGGTGGAGTTCCTGTCAAAGATATGCACAGTTACTAATCTAGTAACAGGTGAAGTGGTACTGGTGGCCAAGAGATACAAGAACATCTACGTTGCTGACTTTGAGTCTCTACAAAGCGGTGATCTGAGTTGCTTGAAAGCAGTTGCTGATGATGCTGACTTGTGGCACAGAAGACTAGGGTAGTTTTTCTCTACTGAACAAACTAGTTCAGAAGGACCTGGTGCGTGGTCTGCCCAAGTCAAAGTTCGTGGAGCACAAAGTTTGTGATGCCTGCGCCAGAGGGAAGCATGTGAAATCCTCATTTAAGCCAAAAAAGGATTTCAGCACCTCAAAACCACTTTATCTCCTTCATATGGATCTATGTGGCCCTATGAGAGTGCAAAGCAGAGGAGGAAAAAAATACATTTTTATGATAGTGGACGATTATTCCAAATTCACTTGGACCCTTTTTCTTAGATCAATAGATGAGACCTTTGAAATGTTTGTAGCCTTTGTGAAGAAAATTCAAGTGAAGATGGATTCAAAAGTAGCCTGCATAAGATCGGATCATGGAACAGAATTTGATAATGCCAAGTTTGATGATTTTTGCAACGAGAATGGGATTACCCATAACATCTCAGCCCCTAGAACTCCACAGCAAAATGGAGTTGTGGAAATGAAGGATAGAACCCTTGAGGAAATGGGAAGGATAATGCTGATCGATAGTGGGATTGCGAAGAACTTCTAGGCTCAAGCTTTAAACACTGCCTGCTACTTGGTCAACAGGTGCATGATCAGGTCTCTTTTGAACAAAACTCCCTATGAGTTGCTGAATGGAAGAAAGCCCAAGCTGACTCACTTAAGAACATTTGGGTGAAAATGCTATGTTCTCAACAATGGAAAGGATCAGCTTGGAAAATTTGATGCCAAGAGTGATGAAGGAATCTTTTTGGGGTACTCTTCTCAAAGCAAAGCCTACACGATATACAACAAGCGGAGTCAGTGTGTTGAGGAAAGTGTACACGTAATCTTTGAAGAGTCCTATCTCTCTTGTGAGAAAAGCAACAAGGGTGATCAAGATGGATAGCCTTTGTTAGTTCCAGATGAAGTCATTGATATGGCAAATGGAAAGGCAGACATGATGAGTCAAGTGAAGGAGCCAAGTGAAGACAATACAGTCTCTTCCTCATCAGCCGGAGAGGAACCAGGTACCACAATTACAACTACTGAAGCTGAAGAAAGAGTGGTTGATGCAGTTCAAAGTACTCCATAGGTAACTGCGAGAAGAATGCAAGGGAACCAGTCAGACTTACCCAGCTCCTCTACAAATGAGGCTCAAGTGCCCAATTGGAAACACAAAAGCTCTCATCCTCTTGACAACATAATTACCCCTTTGGATTCAGGAGTACAAACCAGATCAAAAGCCAGAAATTCACTTGCCTTGTCAGCCTTTCTTTCCCACATAGAACCCAAAAATATCAAGGAAGCCTTAAAGGATGCAGAGTGGATTACAGCTATGCATGATGAGTTGCATCAGTTCGAAAGGAACAATGTATGGCACCTGGTACCTAGACCCTCAGATAGAACAATCTTAGGAACCAGGTGGGTATTCAGGAATAAGCTTGATGAACATGGAAACACTACAAGGAACAAGGCTAGGCTAGTGGTTCAAGGTTACAATCAGGAGGAAGGAATTGATTATGATGAGACTTTTTCTCCGGTTGCTCGCATGGAAGCTATCAGAATCCTCATTGCATTTGCATCACATATGGAATTCGCTCTGTTCCAAATGGATGTCAAAAGTGCATTTCTGAATGGATTCCTTAAGGAAGAAGTCTGTGTAAAGCAACCTCCAGGTTTTGAATGTCATGAACACCCTGAATATGTGTTTAAATTGGACAAGGAATTGTATGGGTTGAAGCAGGCTCCTCGAGCTTGGTATGAAAGACTGTCAAAGTTTCTCTTAGAAAATGGTTTCACAAGAGGAAAAATTGACAACACTTTGTTTCTGAAGAAATGAGGGAGGAACCTGCTCATCGTTCAGGTATATGTTGATGATATCATTTTTAGAGCAACAGTTGATTCAGTGTGTGAAGAATTTGCCAAACTCATGGGAAGTGAGTTTGAGATGAGCATGATGGGTGAGTTGAAGTTCTTCTTGGGTCTTTAAGTAAAGCAGTCCACAAAGGGTACATTCATCAGTCAAAAGAAATACATCAAGGAGCCGCTAAAGAGGTTTGATATGGAAGCATCAAAAGTGATTAACACTCCTGTTGCCAATGCTACTCGACTGGACATGGATGAATCTGGATCTCTTGTAAATCAAACCATGTATAGAGGCATTATTGGGTCTCTTCTCTACCTCACTGCCAACAGACCTGATATTGTCTTTAGTGTGGGGCTATGTGCAAGGTTTTAATCAAATCCCAAGGAATCTCATCTGAAGGCTGCCAAGAGAATTTTGAGATATCTTAAGGGAACACAGGACCTGGTCCTGTATTACCCTTCAGGTGATAATTTTAATCTTATTGGGTCTGCTGATGCTCACTATGCAGGTTATCTTATGGACAGGAAAAGTACTTCTGGAATGGCTCACTTTTTAGGATCATGTCTCATCTCATGGGGCACAAGGAAGCAGAACTCAGTTGCTCTGTCAACAGCTGAAGCAGAATATGTTGCTGCAGCTTACTGTTGTGCTTAGCTCCTATGGATCAAACAGCAATTAGAAGATTTTGGTGTGTACACTGACTGTGTGCCTCTTCTATGTGACAATACCAGTGCACTCAACATGGCCAAGAACCTGGTTCAACATAAAAGAACGAAGCACATTGATGTGAGACATCATTTTCTCAGAGATAATGTGGAGAAAGGGCTTATCTGTATGAAGTTCTGCAGTACAGAAGACCAAATTGCAGATATCTTCACCAAAGCACTAAGTAGAGAACATTTTGAAAGAAATAGGCTGAAGCTGGGGCTATTAAGGCCAAATTGAGAACCTGATTCTCACCATTTGGCTATGAAAGTCACATTCAGGTAACATTAGCTAAAGTGTTTTCCGGCCAAGTCTAACTCACTTCAATACCGTTGCAGGTAGACACACATGATGATTACAAAAACTGCAGAAGCATTGCATAAAGGTAAAAGAGGATTGAGAACTTTTGAAGGACAAGTCAAGAACAAGGTTCTTGTACCATAGGTTAGTAGTCTTGTGCTTTTTCATACATGATAGGTTTTCAACGTCTTTGCTTTATGTTTTGATGATCTATCAAACTTATTATCAATGACCAGATAGGGAACCTGACACACTTGGACTACATTGCAAGCTAACTTCCAGCTAAATGTGAACTGCTATAGCTTCAGGAGATAGGAAAGGAAACAAGGACCCGATACCCCTGTGGTTCCCTCATAGCAGTACAAAGTCAATTGGACACAGCTGGAAGCCACGTGACCGCATGCACTGTTTCTGCCTGCACTGCACTGCTTCCAGTGCCCACTTATTTCTTGACCAACTAAAGTGCTTACATCATGTCAAGTGATGTCATCAAGGTGTATCAACAATGAGTTTATATCAAAACATCACTTGAACATTTCTGATCCCCATTCAAGCCTTTGCAAAACAGAGAAATTAATTCTCACGAGCTTGAAGAACAAAGTTAAACGCTACTACGGACCAGTTCCTAAAGTTAGTATGTTGTTGTCCTTAGTTGAGTTGTAACTTTGTTATTTTTCTTATTGTATCTCCTAAACTGCTTAGCTTGAAGCGTTGATTAGGAATCCTCTTGTAAAATTCGTGAACTCTCAGAGTTTATGTTGTGACTAGGTTTAGTCATAAGTTAAAGTATTTGTTACTAGAGAGTGGCAAAGTGGCTTTTGGTGAGAGTATACAAGTTAGTCAAATCCTTTGTAACTAGAGAGTAACAAAGTGGCTTGTGGTGAGAGTACCACTAGTTTGAATTCTTTGTAAAAGAGTCATTACAAAGTGGCTTGTAATAGGTGTTTACAAGTTAGTAAAGTCGAAAGCCTACAGGTGTAGGTCGTAGTTTTTTGTCCCCTTAAGTTGGGATTTTTCCACGTAAAAATCCTGTGTCTCATTTACTCACTATTTTGTTAGCATTCTCAGCATAACCTTGTAGAGGACCAGATACTATACTATTTGGTGGACTCATATAAACTAACAATTGGTATCAGAGCGGGTTCCTCCTACCAGGCTAACACCTAAGAAGGATCCTTATGGTCGCTCCACCAAATTTTGAAGAAGGTCAATCTACATACCGACCACCCAGGTTCAATGGACAATACTATGGGTGGTGGAAAACAAGAATGCATGATTTTATCATG